ATAGATAGTTTAATCATTATAACTGCATTGTACAATTGTTTGTTCGTGTAATGCGTTTATAACTTGATGTAGTTAATAATAATATTATTAGCATTATAGTAATGCATTGTCTGTTCCGTGTGCTGTCTGTTCCGAGTGTCATCCACTTTGTGTTAAGTTCGTCCAATGTTATATTAATTAATTATATTTAATTAGTTCGTTCGTTCGTAATATACTGTTCAATAACAGTATTGTTATCACAATAGATCGTTTGTAAATGTTATTAAATAATTTGTAAATGCTTCAGAGACCTGCAGAATCTTGTTGGCATGCATAGGTACATATATGCACATATTTAAATCATAAATGCAATTGCTCGTTTTGTTTTATTGTTTGTCATTCAGTCATATTGTTTGTTATTAAGTTTGTTTTGTTTGTTATTCAGTTTGTTTGAGTACTCTAGTAATTTCCTTTTTACTTTGCAGTGAAACTAATGAATCACACTAGTAAAATGTATATTCAATGTTACAATAATATCCTTCTTTAATTATTGCTGTCCATGTTTGTCTACATTCGTATATGTGTTAAGCATTCAGCAATAGCTGATTTATGTCTTTGGATTGAAGCTTTGCATTAATTGTATATTGTAATATCAATAATAATATTTGTTTTTGCCAGATTGCTTCATTCTGAGATCAATAAGGTTTTATGCTAACGTATATTTGTTACATAAATGTTATTTCTGGCCACAGGCATCTTACTATGTGTCTAGGTGCATTGTATATGTATTATATCATGAATGTATTGTTTGTTCGTTTGCTTTACATTATCATTTATAGTTATGTATTAATTTATTAACATTATATTTGTTAATTGATTGTTTCTGATGCATCCTGAGTAACTATGCAATCTGTTGCATTGTTTCTTTAATAGCCAACATAGTTATCCATTGTAAATCATTACTAACGTGCGTTTGTATTATTTATCATTAACAATGTTATTGTGAATTGTTACAATTGTAGTATTGTGTATATATATGTGTATGTTATAGCTATTGTTCTTTACTTTTTCTTTTGCAAAGAATGATGTATTGTAACACAATCCACATATAAGTAATATATTGGATTATGTTTACTATAATTGTCTCCTAGCGTTCTTTAGTTAATCTAGTGCTATGCACAATTGTAGTATTTGTTCAACGTTTTATTTGTTAATTGGTTTGCTAGGTAAAACGTTTTATATATTGGTTTTATTTATTTTATTTGAATCATTGTATAGATGTTCTTATTAGTATCTATCTGATGTATTTCATAGTATTATAATACTGTTCACACTTGTATTAATCACACAGTGAGGGCAAATTAATTGTTTGTACAAGAATTGATTTAATAGTTTTATTTAATTATATGTATGCACTCTATACTTGTTTATATAGTTATTATCTGTGTATCGTTCATTATAGTTGTGAATTATATTGCAATTATATTTGTATTATCATACAGATATATTATTTATTGTTTTATGTATGTTCTAAAGTATTATTTTCGTTATTTATCACTTTTATCTATGAACTATAGTCTGAATTGATGAATTATTTTGTTATATGATGTAATAATCATCTGTATATTATTTATTTTCGTATTAAACACTGTTAAGTTAATTATATTATCATATTAATATTATTTGCCAAGTATGAGCATTTGTTTCATAGTAGAATTATTATTTATTTAACGTTGAAGTTCAATCACACATTGTGTTGACTTCTGTTATTTAGTTCTGATCAATGTAATTTTGCTTTGTACCAAATGATTTACCTTTATAATCTGTTATGTCTGTCTGTAACTTCTATTACTTAGTTAGTGCTTAGTCTGTGAATTTTGTTATTCTATTTTTATTCTATTTTTCATAGCATCTGTAGCATTATACTTTCTGTTCTGTTGTTTATATTTAGTTATTAATTGTTTGTGCATATTATCCATTTTCTCCCCTTTAATTCAAGAAGGTATTTCTTCAAAGAATTGGATATTTCTTTAATGTTTATTAATTGTTGTTATAATATAATATTTATATATATAATAATTGTAATTGCTTTCATGGTTCAATTTCCAATTATTAGTATTTTAAAGCAGTGTGTAACGTTTGTTATGTTCTATAATAAGTAATTTAAATGTTATTACTATTATTTTTTCGTTACTGTTAACGTTTGTCAACTTATATAATGTGTATTTTGTTTGTTATAGTAGATAAGTACACATTATGTATAATATACAAGTTTTGTTTGTGCTTGTTATCTTTTATTAATAATTGTTCATAACTATGAATGAATATTTTGTTTTTGTGTTAAAAACATATGGTAATTTGTTTGTTTCTGTATAATATTCGTTTAATAACATTGTAATTATTATTTATGTAGTGCTTTTAGTAAATGCACTGAGTTCTATTAAGTATGCTCACATCCATTATTACCTATTTTATATTATACTGTCTAAGATAATGGCTTAAACATTTTATTAATTTATTTAATCATATTATATTATGATTGTTTTCGATCGTAATTATTATAATAATGTGTTTGTAATAATAATATATGTATTATTCGTTGTAATAGCCTTATTAGCTTAATACTTTGCTCCTACAAGCTACATTGTCACAATGTAAATTTAATAATCATTTGTTAAGGTATATACACTGTACAGTTGATGTTGCTGTTGCAACTTTGAAATTTATTATATAATCAGCTGCTGTGATAACACGTTCTGTATAATTAAGTTGTATTGATGCATTGTTTCAAGTATATTAGAGATATAATTCTTTCGTTCATTGTTAGTATGCATTTACACAATTGTATTAATGTGTAAAGTAGTATCATTTGTTTGATAATTATAATTTTTACACTTGTTTTGTGCCATAATTAGTATTTACACATTATAACATTATTCTTTTGTGTGTAGTTAGTTTATATGCTCTGTAGTGTTGTTTTTTGATTTGTAGTTATTAATTATACTTTTGTATATCTGTACTTGTCTGTATATCTTAGATATGTATATTATATTTGCTATCCAATAAGTAATTGCAATATCCAACATGTAACTGCTGAATCCAATATGTTACATATAATTGCTTGACCATAATATGTGTTAGTTATTATATTGTTCCATATTCGTTCTGTTAGTTCTATCTGTATTATTATCATTATTATCATTATTATTATTGTTATTATAGTGTCTGCAATTGTATTATCGTTTATAATACATGTTAAATGTTTTATTTATTCGATTTAATATGTTGTTTAGCATATATGCACTCGTTTTAAGCATTAATCATTTGGCTGTGATATTACTATATGTGTTATTATTCGATTTATGCTATAACATAGTGTGTTTGTTCGTTGACAGTGTCAATCATTTATACTATTGTAATGTTAATA